ATGTGGCTCATTGTAGGTCTGTCTGACGAAGATCCAGTAATACGCTGTCTGCCGTGAAGAAACATGACTGAAGCATGTAATTGTTGGAACACTGAGATAGCTTTCCGCCGGCGTTTAACACTTGGGGAGAACCAACGTAACCCCGTGACTTTAGTACAAGACCGACAAGGGCAACGAAAAATCGGGTGCAGGTGACGTGACACCGGACTCCAATGTCCCCATTTTTGTCACCTAGTATTCACGTGCAGCAGGAAGCCCCCCCCCCCACGCCACATCGATGGTCAGCCTCGTCCACGAAGCCCGCGCGCGAGTCAGTAATTGGGACGCCGTCGGACCAACTGGCAACCTAGGAGGGGTTTGCTGGCACTGGTACTCGGGGCGCAGCCAGACGAAGTGATGGCCATTTAACAAGACGACTTGGGTGAGTAGGCACTAGCTAAAAGCCCAGACATGTGTTTCACCGATGGTCCTGCTCCTGTTCGGCTCCTCGGTGGGTCCCACGGCGTTGTCTATACGGCTTCTGGTAGATGAATTCCAGAGTATAATCAGAGAACTGGTTGCAGAAATTATTAGGTGAATGACATGGATTTAAGCGATTGAGACATCACTGTATAGGGGTCAGACCGGATTGAGAAATTGACATACACTGACTGTCTTTTGCCATTCCTGACTTTCTTACGTTCCCTTCAACCTCGCTATACGGCTTCTGGTAGATGAATTCCAGATAATAATCAAAGAACTGGTTGCAGAAATTATTAGGTGATTGACATGGATTTAAGCGACCGAGACATTACTGTATAGGGGTCAGGCCCGGATTGAGAAATTGACATACACATAGGGATTTTTGCAGCAAAAAAACTGTCTTTTGCCATTCCTGACTTTCTTACGTTCCATTCAACCTTCTCTGTTGCTTCTGAACAATAGCCTAGACTTCTAACTGGTGGTTACACGATGAAGAACTGTTCAACGATCAAGCAGAAGTGACGAAAAATGCACGTGAGACTAGAGTGACGAGTTGTACTGTTTTTTTTCCTCCAAAACCGGATGTGTTGAAATCAAAACCGGATCAGTTGAAATCAAAACTGGATTTGTTGAAATCAAAATCGGATCTGTAGATATCAAAACCGGATTATTACTTATTGTATATTAGAACTATTTTCTCTATTTATTTAACCTTGCTAGTAAAAAAACCATCTTTTATAAGTATTGTGAATACATAGCGTAGAATATTTAACCAAATTAGTATCGATGGACATCAGATAGTGAGAAACATTGTCCAAAGAATATCTCCGAATGTTGAACTTGAAAAGTTATTTTCACTGACAAGTTGAGAAACAGTCTTCATTCTTGCAAGTGGATCTTCTCTTCCTTGAATTGGAGCATTCCTTTTCACATTAGATTTAATTTGCGAGAACACCTCCTCGCGGGGGTTTAGGAAAGGATAATACCTTGGTAAGAAGTGTATCTCGTATGGAAACGTTCCGTAGAATTCTTGAATGGAATGTTGGAAACGAACGTTGTCCATAACAATGATGTATTCCTCGTCGTCGTCAAGAATATCTGGAAGGGCTGCCAAAGGATTTTGGAATACATTTCCATCTACGCTACCAAGCACTGCTTTGCAGCTAATGACGTTAAGTGCATTGACAGCGAAGATCATAGTTATACCTATGTTATAACTATTATCCGTTTTTGATGTCTACAGATCCGGTTTTGATTTCAACAAATCCGGTTTTGATTTCAACATATCCGGTTTTGGAGGAAAAAACCGGTAGTTGATTTTCAATCGTTGGTCAATGAGCGACTACGCGTAAAATCCAAAAATCAAGTCGTCCCACCGTCGGGGCTGTTGTATTCCATTTGATGACGACACAAAGCCCTAGGGAGTCATTCAAGTCTCTCTTCCTTCAGATGGCTTATACTTATACAGCTATGATCAGGTCTGGTCTATACAACCTTCATGGTGTCACAAACAGTACGCCTGCACGCGCGGCGATTTGTGTCAGCGGATCTGGAGAGCTCGACATATATTCTCCTTCAGAAACGGAGATCAAACAATATCTGATAACCGTCAATGTTACAAAGATATTTTGCAAAAATAAGTTTTTTTCACAACCTCTACTAAAAAAAGACACCTTATTTTCAGTAGTTGAGGATCGCAACGCTAAATCAATCCTAAATGTCATGCAGAGCATATTCCGACGTTAAGTCATACCTTAAAAGAATCCATTAACGTCTTGTAAAGTACCTGGGAAGGACGGGGGATTATCACACACCTATTGAGTCTCCTGACCACGACAACTGATGGAAACACTAATCATAGAACAAAGCGTCAGGTAACATGTTCTTCTGCGCAGTGGCTATACGGCTAGCCACTCCACTGCCGTGTTGTCAGAAGACGCTAACACAAGCACTTTCACTTCCGTGGCCGGCCCCAACGCCAGATGGCGATTGCACATTACCTTCACTCTCTGGTGAAAGCCATTCGCTCCGTGCAAATGGCAGTAATTATCATTCCATGTACCTGACTCTGACCAATTCCCACAACCTAACCCAATTTCCTCCTCCCCCC